ATCAGTGGTGTCTTCCAACTGCCGGGTCAAATATGAGCCTAAACTATCCATCCCGAGATGCGGTGTAATCTTAATGGATACAATTGCGGAAGGTGTCATCAGTCTCAGGATTACGCGTCACTGCAACTTGATCCTTTGAGTCTCATGGTGGTGTTTGTCTCAGAGCCAATGCTCGCTTGAGTCGCTACCATGTGAAGATGGCACGTCTCTTGGTCCTCTTTTGGCTACTACAGGGCCCTATTTGGAACTGCATTCAACGCCCCACAACCTCCAAGCACTTATATGAGACTCACTGCTGTACAAAGTTCGAGTATCACTGACTCTCAGTCATTTCAGTTCGTGTAATCCATACTTGTCGTGTCATTCTGAAAAGCGTTGGCCTACTATCCGCATTCATTTGAGTAGTTATCTAAAACATGTGATGGCAACAAAACCATCCCCTTTTATTCAACAGATTCATTTGTATGGTGGACTCGAAATGAAATATGCTCTTGGCGGCCGAGACGAGTTTCTTCGCGGTATGCTAATAAATGAACCAAATGACTTTTGCTTGACCAACTTGCGATATTCTTCTTTCGTGTTTCACAACCCAATTGTCGATATGTGATGACCTCCAACCTCACACCATATTCAGTATGAGAGCAGGGTCAACTGTGGAGATCTAAGCTTTGTTCGATTTGGGCAAGACCTCAAGCCCTTCTTAAGGTCAGAGTACCTAGCTACTGATATGTCAGCTTAACTGGATGATCCCAAAGACAAAGAGCATGTTTCCCTTACCTTCAAATCAGCCTTTCACCTTCGCCTTGCTCTTTCTCTTGCTCTTCTTCCCGCAGTATGTAAGCTTGGGTGGCATCCTCGCGATACGGGGCTTCCCTATTGATTCAAGGTCGATCGTCACAGGTTTTGGTGCCCATTTTCCCAGTGAAGAAGAACGGTGCACTCTTGGTGCATATTTTGCAGGCTTCTTCTTCTTCCCGAAACATCCACACATGATGGGCGGTGTTGTAACGGTTGTAAGTAGCGAGTTTCGTAAAGTATAGGTGCTTGGTACAGGACAGGCCAGTCCAGTTCAATGAAGTGGTTCAGATCCTGATATGAGAGCATTTATACTACTCTATTTTAAGGGTTTTTGAGAATGAAATGAAGAAGCTTTGGTGGTTATATATGGTCCAGAATATAACTGATTAATAAACTCTATTGCAATCCAGAGAAAGTTTGACGTGTAAAGCATTTTTATTTATAGTTTAGAGGCTAAGCTTCCAGACAGAAAAGTTCTCAATTCAGAAGTTTTATCAATCAAAGTCGAATTTTGTAAAACACTGCAACTTGAATAGACTCCAAAAGATTTCTCTTCTCTCTCCATTTTCACTGCCAGGTACCGGTACACTTGGTAGTGAAGGGCTTGGCATGAACATCTTGGGAGTTGAATGTTGTAGGAACATACTTGCTGAGAATATTAGGTTTGACTACCTCATCCAAGCCTTTCATTGGCTCTGCGAACTTCAAACTTCTACCAACCTATGTGACAGCCGGCATGTCGGTGGAAAATTATGTATGATTTCGGTGGCTCATCAACGCAACTTATATACCATTTGATAAGCGCATCCACCTCGAGAGATAGGCATTACTTAGGCCAAGAGCAGAACCTGACAGCCATTATCTTTCGCTAATGCAGGACATGCGGTTCTACGGCAGTTCCTAGTCTAGTGTATGTATCATCACAACACAGTTAAATTTGATTGGTGCGAACCCCTCAATGGGGTAGTCCACGTCAATATCACGATACAGCACATCAAACCGTCAGTATCAAACTCCCGTATTAGTTTTCCTTTTACGAACTAGGGGCCCGCGTAGGTTTTCCTTTTGCGTAGGGCGTTGATGTGAGATAAGAATATTGGGTCAAGAAACTTGTGACTACAAGTATAAGAGGCCTCTCCCGTGTTTAAGTTGATGAGTCTACATGCTAGTACATCTCTCCAACCGAATCTGTCGACACTGCTCGTACTACTCCAATTCCACCGGCAAAAGATTGCCCGACCCTTATATCATATCCAATGTCTCCAAACTCACAGAAACCACTCATTTTTGACATCGGCGCCCAGTCGCAGAACACACCATCTTCCTTTGTCGAAAAGGAACGCGGCAACACAACATGGCATACGCTCTTGTCCTCACCTGGTACAGCCAGCACTTCGATCACCGCAGGGATTGCTACATGTCCTCGCTACGGAACCCTGGCACTCCATCGGCACAAACAAACAGAAGTGTACTTCATTCTGTCCGGTAGCGGCGAGGTCGAGGTTGATGGCGAGAGACATCTTGTCTCAAAGAATAATCTTATTTGGATACCCGGAGACGCAGAGCATGGAGTGTTTTGTGGCGATAACGAGCTGAGCTGGCTATATCTATTCCCTGAGGACAGCTTTGATAATATCATTTACCGCTTCACAGCTGAGGCAAAGGACATTACTGGGAAGATCAAGTCGAAACTGTAGTAGTGCATCAAATCTTTTCAAACAGTGTCTTAGAGTATTGAGGTCCGTACTATATGAGATAGAAAAGTATTAATCAACAACCATTTATTACGACTGAATATCACCAAAACAAAGACCAGACAAAAGCCAAACAAAGATGACTTCTAATCAACCAGTAGAAAACATCCACGACAGGCCAAATAGCTTTGCTATTTTGGGGCTCGTCGGACCATGTAGAAAGTTTCGTAAAGCTCATCGACTCCCAGGGCGCTCATGCTTTCACTCTTCTCTTCAAGAATCTCAAAACCATGTTTCCGATAAAGCCCCATACCACGCCGACCCGTAGCGACTACCATGGCATCGAGGCCTAGTTTGTCGACTTCCTCAAGGCCCGATTTGACAAGAATACTGGCTACTCCTTTGTGCTGGTGGTCCGGACGAACACCGACGTAGTGTAGTTCTATCCAGCCTCAGTATCGATACAGCCATGTTGGCATTGTACTTACCAATTGCGTTTTCATTTTTGTACTTCTCTCTCCAACCATCGATGTGCTCGTCATACTTATCGTTATCTGTCCGTGGATTCCATTCGGTTTCCGCATGCCGTTTGTTGAAGACCTCCTTCTCCTCGTCGGTCACATCTGGTGTTTGCGCGTTGAGCCAGTGATCCTTATGCGACTCTGGCATAATCCATCGCGCATATCCCGCGATGTCTCCTGTTTCGAGGTGAACCACCTTCTGGTGTCTCCGCACTTCTCTGTCCGCCAGGAGGTTCTTGGGGCTTCTGTCCGCGACGCTCTGGACGATGGATTCACGGGTTCTACCAGTCCAAGATAGTCTCCACCAAGGCTCCTCGAAAAATGCCGAGACCTTGCTCAGCGCAATGTACTGTGCATCTTCTACGCGACACGGCGACTGAAGTTCATAAGCTGCCATTGTGGTGATATTTCAAACTGCGATGGGGGAAAGAAATTGAGAAGGAAGTGTCAGCATTCCTCTGCCACGTAGTCTTGCGAAGGATTCATGCTTTTATCTGTGCTAATTCTCGGAATCCTTGTCTATGCGTGATAACGCAAGGGTATAAGCCAGAGTGCTACAAAAGTGCCGTTATCCGATACACCGTAGCCAGAAGTGGATAGCCTGTTCCAGAACGGTGATCACGTTGCTCAAATCCGATGTTTCGGGGATCGAACAGCAAGGTACGGAGTACGCGCACAACAACCAGGATAGAGGATATAAAGACCTTCTTGTCTTCTTCGAAATACAACCCGTGATGTCTAACGATATATTTCAGTGAATTTGCCACGCTCTTTGTACAAGACGGTTTAGCTGTGAGTTTTGTGGAAGGCTGACAAGTATGAATACCTTAGCAGTCATGAGAAAACTTCTGCCAGCAAACTTCCTGACTTCCTTTCTCATAAGCTGTCCGCACGTTCTATTGCGGCACTTAGAACGGACTGGCAAATTGTCGTCTGCTAAGTTTGATAACTGCGAACTGATGTCCGAGCGCAAGATAAGCCGGGGTCTTACGGGTAGATGAAGACCGGATATATAATAGTTACCCACTCCTGTGAAGATTATACTCAGAATGTCCTGAATAGGCGACTCGAAGACGGAAAGGAGAGTGAGGAAGAAAGAGGTTGTAGACTTTTAGGCCAAGGTTGCAGTTGAAGAGATCATTCGGTGGAAAAGCTCCGAAAGTAGAGGAGATTCCGGTAGCCGAAGCATCTGCCCAGAGAACATTCCTTGAATTTTGAGGCGAAGCTGGTGCCAGGAGAGTCTGCTTGTAGTGAAGACATGAAAATAAAGGTGAAACTGCTCCTCAAGAGTCAACTGAGAAGAAAGAGTGAAAGTAAAGGCGAAGCCGCTCCTCTAAAATCCAACTGGGAGCAAGGCTTCAAGGTAAGATCAAAGCTGTTCCTTGAATAGTTAACTAAGAGTAGGGGCGAAGACGGTAACCGAAATATTGGCTTGGACAGGAGCACTAGAAAGGAGGACTCGGAAGTAGAGGCGCGCTCCTCGAAGAGTCGACTCAGAGATGAGGGCCTGAGAGTAGAGGTAAAACCAGTCTCTTCAGGACATGACGGCTCAATAAACCAGGCACTCCTAGCCTGAGGGACGGTCCAACTGGCTCGATTCGCGAGTTTTTCCCGGCGAGGGCCAACTCTGCTTCGGTCGCAGTCCCTCCGCGAAGGCCTGACTCCCTGAGGCTCAGCAACACGAGCACCCAGGAGGTCAAGCAGGTGGTCGATCTTGGGCACTTGGGGGGCATCTTGGTGGTGATGATACCGGGACGAAACCATATCGCAGAAACACAAGATTTATCAGAATCGATCGAGTCTGTTGTGGAGAAAAGTATAAAAATAACGGAAATATGTAGCCAAATAAACGAACAGGGTCAAGTTGATGTGTAAAGGTACTTAGACATAGGATGGTGTTGGGAAACAGCTACTCGACACGAGGAAGGAGCAAAGTATGGTGAGTACTTGTAACCAAAAATCATTGCTTTTGCTCCAACATAGGATAACCCGATTGACGCAATTGGTTAGCGTGTCAGACTTTTACAAAAGGTGAAATCTGAAAGTTATGAGTTCGAGTCTCATATCGGGTGAAGTTTTTTATTTTTTACGTATCTTTTAATCGATACTACAGTCCAAGAAGAATCGATTGCCATTCTTTTCGTATTTTTCTGATGTGTTTTCGCCACGGTACAGACGTTTTGAAGTTTATGAGACACTGAGCCGGTGTGGGGCTACGACAGTCTATGCCTCCACTATTAGCCGAGCCCTTTCCTCATCTGGTCTGGATCACAATGCCTAATCGGGCGATTTGGGATTGGAGAACGAGAACTCACAACGTTGATCCTGTTGGTTCAGTTCCATCTACTCAATGGAGATTATGATGGCGACCCCATTAGCTGGACTTTTCGTTCGCATCCAGCCAGACACTGACTCTTAAGAGACTTTCCAAGTATTCAAATGCCTCTCGTTGATTGTAAGGGCTCAATACGAGAAAGCCCACAGGAAAGATGCGAATCCCAAATTCGCAAAGAGAACAAAGGTTCGGCAAAGCCAGCTAGATTAGAGATGAGGACGAAGAGATAATGAACACAGAGTTTGCATAATTGTGGTCTGTTCCACCATCGGAAGTTACAAGAGATGTAAGGATGCAGCAAATGAAAACCAGATGCATCGTTTCATCATGACTTAGCCACTTTAGATTTGGAGGTGGAAAAGTTTAGATAATCTAAGTGTCGACCTAGTCTAAATTTTGGATGATTCTTCATCATACGACTGAGATAAATAGAGATTCTCTAACCTCCTGATGTAAGAGAAGATGATCAAAGACGACTCGCTACCCATTGATGTGAGAGTCTGAGTTGGCTAAAGCCAACTCTCACTATCTCCACCACCATCATGACCGCTCGCCCGCAGGACCTTGGCCACCTCGGTTTCCGTTGGAAACTCTTCCAGAACAATTTTCGACGGAGATAAGGCTTGCTCCCCCCCCCCCCCCCCCCCCCCCCCCCCCCTCCCCCCCCCAAAAAAAAAAAAAAAAAAAAAAAAGCCTGTCTTATCAAGAGGGGTCGCGTTAACGAGCACGATGACACTGATGGGCGAGGGTGGCTGCCTCATATTAACGAGCACGGGAGAGATTGCTCATGTTACGCAATTAAGTATCCTTTACAAAGATTAACATTGACTCGGAAGGCCGAGACTCAAACTCGCCTCCTTTCATTTACTATCAGGTGATGATAGGTCTATCTTTGAAGACATTCCCGAGAGATAGGTTTGAATGCTGCACTATGCTGCACCAAAATACGACAAGTAATTATCCTCCTAAGAACTACAACCGAAGCAACCTCTGTCGTAAAACCTATCAGTAGCCTGGGGGTTATACGTAACTCCCAATCCCGCGGGCCCGACTCTGTAGGGGTAACACACAGTTGTACCCTTCTGGTAAGCAAATCCTTGGCAATCAGCGCGCTGGAGACAGATGGCGGCGCAGTTTGCTAGACTTCCAACTGGCTTGATGACATAGTTATCAAGACGAGTGCTCTGGGCTTGTTGGCCGCTCAATCCTGGGAGACCACATGTGACGTCGTCGCTGAGAAATGCTGAAGGGACTGCACAATCTGTGGGTTCGGGTTGAGGGGCTTGTTGGGTGGTTGTAGCTGACTCCTCTGTGGGTGAGCTGCTAGTTGAGGCTTCAGTAACAGCAGGCTCATCGGCAGGGCGAGTCGATGTCACCATGGTTGTCGGAGCCACGGTAGGCTGAGAGGTGAAAGGGGCACTCTCTGTTTCGACGGGATCGTCGCACAACTTGCACTTCATACACTCGAGGTCACTCCATGCACCAGGAGTGTTGGGGTTCTCATCCACACCCGCATCGTTCAAGTCCATAGGACTGAACATACACTTCATGTTGGAGCGGGTAGCATCGAATGCAAATGCCTTGCACTGTTTATCTAGCTTGCAAATAAGGGCACAGTCTTCGACGGAATTTTGGTTGGGATAATCCTTGAGACCAAGGCTGTAAGGCTCGATCATCCGGGGCCAGCCATGTTTGCCACAAATCGCCGTTGAGGGTGCTGGGTTTGCGCTGTTGCAGAGTCCTGGGGATGGGATGCCATTGGGACACGCTGCGGCAGTGTTGGAAGGGGACGTAGTTGTGATGCTAGTGGCATCTGTTGTTAAGGAGACATTATCGCCAGTCTGACCTGCACTGGTGGGTGTCTCGACACTGGATGTAGTCTCGACAGTAGGCTTCGCAGTTGTTGCAGACAGAGCAGAGGATGTCTTCGGTTCTGTCGTAGCACATGTTCCCTGAGGTATGTTTTCTGGATCTTGACCAAGAGGGATATAGTTAAAATAAGCATTGCCCTCTCCACAAGTATGGCAGTCCATGTCAGTGAACCAGTAAAGCTCTGATCCCGCCTCAGCAACTGCAGACGAGCGCTCGTTGTACAAGCTACAGCTTCCAAAAGTAGCACCGTAAGACTTGCAGGAAGGATACTTGGCGCAGAGATCGCGACACTCGTTGCTCAGACCGCAGTAAGCCTTGGTACTGACAGTTAGGAAAGGTTTGGCACATGCCTTGGCTTTGCCTTTGAGCTGCGTACAGGATTTGGCAGGTGTATCAGCGTTGACGTTGACGCAGACAGTACCACCAGGCTGCTCAGAGCATTCGTCTTCGTGGATGCAGCTTCGGTCGTAGGCGTAGGCTGCGTCAAGACCTCCATTGGTAGGTACATCTGCCCAGTTCGTGGCGAGGAGATTACAGGTGTTTGCACAACCGCTGCCCTGGTAAAGCCACTCGAAACTCTGGCACTTGGTATCCGTCAGACAGAGAGCGGCGCATTGTTCCTTTGTGATGCTGCTCCCGCCGTATCTCTTATAGCCTTGGGTACTGCTGTATGGTCGCTTGCCGCAACCTCTGCCAACGTCACCTGCTCCGAGTTTTGCGCAAACCTTGCGGCCGGGTGGAGTGACTACTTCAGTTGGTGCTGAACTGGCAGCGGTTGTCGGAGCTGATGCTGTGGTTTCGCCTGTTGTCACAGCTCCGTCCGTGGTAGGTCGGGCCTCGGAGGTTTGTGTTGCAGGAAGATCAGACGACTCTGTGTTGTCGCTGCTAGTAATAGCTGTGTCAACAGGAAGGGCAGCGCTGGTCTGCGCTGGGGGGATAGTAGCGGCGTGCTTGGAAGTAGGGAAGAACAACGAGATGCCATCAACCCACTCTTCACCGATCTTGTTGGACACAAAGACCTGGTCGAAGTAAACTTCAGCAGAGCCACCATTGACACAGATAAGTTCAAAACGGATCTTTCCACTGGTAGTCGTGACAGCCATGGAGTCCACAAACTCCTTCCAGGTGTTGCCATCACTGACAACAGGGAAATATGGCGTTGCACCAAACCTCTCACTACCGTAGAATCCTTCAATGCGGCATGTGTCTGCCACAGCATTGTTGACAACAGAGTACCAGAAGCGAACGGTATAGTCACTGGGTTCCATATTATCGAGCTGCTGCTGAATCCAGGGGTAGTCAGATGCGAAATCCCTCTTCGAGTTGCCGGCTCCTGAGTTGGTCTTGAGCTGTACGCAGTTCCTCTCATCCGTCTGACCCTGGTGTCCAGGACCTTGGAGAAGCCTGGCATCACCACCAGCTTGAAAGGCGTAGATGCCACCATCTGCTGAAGGATCATAGCCTCCAAAGTCGCCGTTGGTCACGGCATTGGTAATGATAACCGGACCTTTAGTGGTTTCAGAAGCGGGAACTGATTTTGTCGCACTGCCGCTGGTGATCGAAACAGATGGAGTCGTGCCTGATTGCAGAGGAGGAGAGGGTTTGCATAGACCTGCCGCAGCAAGATCGACAGAGCCTGCAAGGGCCAAAGCCACAAGCGCTGAAATGGAACGCATCGTCAAAATAACGAATGGATAAGCCAGAAAGAGGCTAGAAATGAGTGACACGGAAGACGGTTGAAGAATCAACCATCAGTGCCGCGCTCAGCAGTGAGCAGAGCCATGGTATATACCACGTCACGTCTCGACCGCAAGCGCAGGGTTTTGGTGTTCCCCTGACATTACGGGAAATTTCCTCGTTATTCTCGCGTGGAGCTGTTCAATAGCTTCTCAGTTGTTGTCAATAGCTTCGTGGGGTTTCCATTTTTGCTCAGACCCCGAGTCTAGATTTGGGCTGGTCCGTTGCGCTATTGAACGCCTCACGGACTTGTAGACGATGGGCCCTGTGTTCGCCTATTTAGCTTCGGCTCATTCCTTTTTAAATTGATGGACTTTTGTGAGTGCCGTGAATTATACAGATTCCAAGTCTAAAGGTTTCTAGAGGTTTCAATTGCCAATGGTTCAATCTACCTATGGTGATGGATGATGTCTGTTCCAGATTGTCGGTTCAGGGTCCAACCTCATGTGGATCTGTGCCAAAGATCCCTGCAACATCGCATCGCATCGCCAAGCCCAAGCTCAAGCCCAAGCAGGTGATTATCACATATAAAAAGTGTATAAAGAACCGTACAAGGGCTGGTACATAACAACCGGGATAGATAATGCCACTAATGCCGTCATATTGGACCTAAAGGTGGTTGTCCTACCACTACCTACTACCTAGGTATGCAGGCTTGCACCGTCGCCTTGTTTTCAACTCGAGCTGTATGTAAGTCTCAGCTGGTTCGAAGTGGCGAGTAAAAGGTGCAGAGACTCATATGGGCGCCTGCCATACACCCAATAGCAACAACGGCAATATAGGTACACAGATTGCATATAGAGCCTTGAATAAATGCTGTTGGTGTCCAACTGGGGAAAGCACAGCCTGCCTGAGGAGTCGCAGCCTGATTCCTATATTACCCCCGCGACTCTCGCTTTCAGCGTCTTTCTACTTTACTCTTACATCTCAAACGTGCTCCAAGATGCCAAGACTATCGAATGCGTGCAGTGTTACCTGCAAAGACTTCCCCAAGGAGATTCCCCCTCACAGCGACATAGGAGGTATCGGTGTAAGACCCAAACTGCCTGAGCGCATTGCATCACTAACATCCTTTAGGTAACTTTAGTCTTTATAGTCACAGCCTGGCTGATAGTCGTTGTGCTCATA